AATAGTGTGTACAGTACCCTCAATTTGGCAGCAACCCAAACCACACATTTGTTGTGAGAGGAAAACTGAACTATCTCCCTTCTAGATAAGCAGTTGGCATAACCTTGAAAACCCTATGAAGCTGGGTTTAGGTCAGGGTTTGAATATAAACTGCCCTTTTAACCTTTGCAAGCCATGATGAAAAATGACGATCGTGGATAGTAACTCCTATTTTCATCATGCTTATCAAAAAAAAAAAAAAAACAGCTAAGTTTTAAAACCATGCTATCAAATTCTCCATTGAGGAGGTGTAGTTACTTCCCTGATTTTGGCAAAACTGTGCCCAACCTCCTAATCTGAGTTGCTTAAGCCAGCCTTGGTTGGGCAAGTTGTTCATCCTTCATCTTGTTTAACTTCAACTAGCCATCTAAAGTGTACCTATATGGTGTTGACTGTTGGTGAAAATAACTTTAGTATTGCAGTAAGAATGCAGTATATTCATGCTTTTAGCCATGTCTTCTTGCAGTATTGAAACATAGGTGATATGTTGGTTTTCTTAATGGGTCATCTCACCTCAACTTTAAGGAACTTTGCATTTTACTGATATCCTACACAGAAAAACACTTGTGCAGGTAGGAAGAAAGACTATGAAAATAAATCTTTAGGAGCTAGCTTATCTGCTTGTATAGCTGTCGGATTCAGTGGTTGTTTCGAGTAGAAGGGCTTTCCATGTAAATTATCTGAAATTTGAATTTTTGAGAATTTCTGAAAAAGGTTTTGGCTGTTCTTTGCATATATTGTGGATTACCCCAGCAGCAGGAGGTCTGGGTTGAATTCTGTGGCATGCTTTGAAAGGTTTGGCTGTTCTTTGCATACATAGATAGAATGTGGTTATTGTGGATTACCCCAGCAGCAGCAGGTCTGGGTTGAATTCTGTGGCATGCTTTCACTCAGAAAGCATACAGCAAAATTAAGGTGAAGTGGTAATTCAGCCAGGATTTCTGATGCTGAGAATTTGCTGGGATTAGGAAGGGAACGCTTGTTCTTTCTTTGTATAAAGTGTGGCTGCTACAGAAAACATAAATGGCTGTGATTTTCGTGCATATTTTGCTGGGGAAAGCTGCCCCCTCCACCGCACACACAAATGTTTGATGATTATGAAGTGTGACCAGTTTTGCAGTTGCAAAATCCTTGCCTCTTGTTTTGGACCATATTCAAGAGTTCATGCAGAGCTCTGCCTGCATGGAGAACCAAATTATTAACTGCAGGCAGATTTCAATAGAGTCTGGGGGCTTCCCTCCCTCCAGTCAGTGTGCATCAAGACGGGCAGAATGCAGGATTGAGGAGCTGCTTCTGTAATAAAATCCTTACCCCTTTTTAGCTCAAGAGTTGCCTTATATTTGAGTCCAGTAGCTGCCTCATGTGGAGGAATCCAGAAATTAGACTCAGGAGGTGTAGGCTGCGAGGCATATTATGTCCCTCTCTCTGAAAGAAATCCATTCCGTGTTTTTTTTCCTTTCTTGCCTAATTTCCTCTTCATTGCCCTTTTTTTCTAAAATGGTTCCTGGAGCAGCTCATAATACACACAAAACACAAAACGTACTTGTTCCAGAAGAACGTACAACATCATTAGATTCAGTATAGTGAACTTTTTCTCCTTTTGCAGTGAATTTTCAGAGATGTAATATATCATGCAAAAACAGTGAGAGAAGTGTTTGTTCTTGAAGAATATATCTCTTCTGCCTTAGTTTTTGTTTGTTTGTTTGTTTGTTTGTTTGTTTGGAAAAAAATCCTCATAGCACCTTCAGAAGAATATCACTGTAAAGTTAGATAGGGAGTCTTACAACTGTGAAATTATAACCAGAGCTATAACATTTGCTACAGCAACATGATGGTTTAGTGCTGTGCAGAATTCACAGGGTTTTAGATATTAATTCTACAGTGGTTGGGGTGTTTCTCCAAGTCCAGCATGAATTAAAACGCTTCTAGAGACAAGCCATATTTTCCCCTTTGTATGATACAACCACATCCTGCAAACCAGGCAGATTTCCTTCCAAAGTGGGGGGGGGGAGGGATGGTTACTCCTTGTTTTGTTTTTTTTTTCTGGCACAGGCTCTGTGCACTTCGATTGATGCATTCATTGCACAAGGGCTACCGCCCGGCAGGACTATAACTCGTGTTGCTGTTTTGCAGAGAGTTGCTTTTGTTGGTGGTTTGGTTTTTGGTTCCTCGCAAATTGCAAGCAGCACTCAGATGGGAGCCACAAAGCACCTGGTGGCTTGAGAGTGGTGAGGTGCTCTTTGGCTGCTTTGTGTAAATCCCAAGTACTGTACAGTATTTGGTTAAATTGAGCTGCCTGTAATGTACTGTATAAGCAGAGCAAGTAGGAGCTGTCCAGCATTGACCAGAACTGCGAAAATAGTATCAACTCATGAATAAAAATATGCTTGATGAATTATTCCCCCAAGTTAAATTTATTGCGCTAATTATTTTGGTTCTATTCTAACTTTGCATATTTTTTCCTGTAATGTGTTTAGAAGAGTTGTTAGAATATCTTCTCTTTTTTCCTCCATCTTGCACTGGAGAGAATTCTGTCACTGTATCCAGTAAGCAAAACAGTTATTGAGATGTGGTAAACATATTTGCATACTGAGTAAAGGAGAACTCAGAACTAGGAACACAGGCTTTTTTTGTACTTTTAGCTATTTAAAAAAGAGATGTTCTACTCCAATAATTTTTTTTAATGTGAACTGGTTCTGTGCTTTAATTTATGACTGCTGGCTTTGTTTTTTAGGGTCACCCAAACAGATGGCTTAGCACTGTGGCTAATTCTAATGTCTAGGAGAA